GCCTAATCCAGCAGGTCGTTATCTCCCAAGGGGTCCCAGACTCGGAGAGGGCACAGGCCGGGCTGAGGGACCCCCCCTTCCCCCCCACCCCGAGTGCACAAATTTTTGTGCACCGGGCCTCTAATAATATAATAAAGGCAGAAACTAATTACATTGGATCTGCAATAATTCCATTAATGGCATTGAAACAACTGATTAGTTGTATTGAGAGAAAAAAAGTGGTATAGCTACCTCAATCTTCACTCTAAAATGATCCCAGAAAGATTAAAGCTTTAAATGAACCCATAACAGCACTGTAAGAAAACATTAGCAATTTAAAAAATATCGCTGTGGAAAGGTCTTTCTAAGCCAAATACCCAAAATCCACAAGGAAAAATAAATAAATGTAACTACTGCACATTAACATTAAAACTCTTCTGCAGGGAAAGATAAAAAAAATCAAATAGGAAAATTTTTCAACATATGCAACAACATGTGTCCTTAATTCAAGATAGTGCTTATAGTTACTAATCCATTAAAAAAAAGATGCTTCTAACCTAATTGCCCATCATACAAAAAACTGATGCAATAAAGTATGGTATATCCATTTTTAATATATGTTTTAAAGAATGTTTACATAAACTAATATAGAAAGTGTTGCAAGGGGATAGAATAGTAGTTATCATGTTTCTACAGATAGATATAGATATTTATTTTTCATGTACAACGTGGTTACCTTTGACCTTAGCATTGTTTCATTTTTATACTTTCCAGTATATTTTCCAAATATTCTATATTTTTAAAATATATTTTATTGATATTTTACAGAGAGGAAGGGAGAGGAATAGAGAGTTAGAAACATCAATGAGAGAGAAACATAGATCAGCTGCCTCCTGCACACCCCCTACTGGGGATGTGCCTGCAATGAAGGTACATGCCCTTGACTGGAATCGAACCTGGGACCCTTCAGTCTGCAGGCTGTCGCTCTATCCACTGAGCCAAACCAGTTAGGGCCCAAATATTCTATAATAAACATATTTTATAATCAGAAGATGTAATAAAATAATAATAAAGTGACAACTTTCAGCAAAGCATAGTGCAAAGAAAATATACTTAATCACCTTAATTTGTATAAACCATGAGTAAAGATGAGAAAAACACTCTTATTAGCATCACAGTGGAAAATAACAGCTTCATTATGTTTATCCTTTTCTTTTTAAGTCCGGGCCATGCAAAATTCAAAAACATAATGTAGGAAACTTGATATTAATGTGTACTTGAAAAGTCTTAACTCTATGCTACTTTATTCAAGTGATACAATTTTGTAATGTGCCGGAGCATAATAAATAAACCACACCTGGTGCAAGGTTGACTTAAACCCTTCCTATTTCTGAGCTGGAGGCCAACCCACTTGGATTAACTTCAGTGAAGAACTCTGATCATTTTCCCAGTTACTCTGTAAAAGCTATATGACAAAAGGGCATCATATGGACTAAACTACATAACAATCGACAAAGATGCTTTAGAGAATTTGCTGTGTTCTGTATCTCTTGAAGAAAAGTATACTTCAAATTCCATGTGCTTGATACTTCAATTCTTTTATTGTTGAAATTTAAAAACATACTAGTACACTACCAAAAATACAAAACATAAAATTTGATGTACTGGCAATGCATAAGTGTGTTGAAGTTATTACACTGCAGGTTGTGCTAATACATGGGCCAGTGGGTACAAACACCTCATCGAGTGACAGTTTATACTTTGTTTCCAGGAGCCTTCAATTCCTTTTCAAACCAGGCTTCTCTCTTATCACATGGTCCCTGAGGCCTTTTGAGGGCAAGGACAACAGCATGCTAGACCCTCACAGAAATGGGAATTTGCATCATTTGACTATCTGTGTTGTCACTTAGCTTGACACTTGCGGCCATTACCCCTTGCTGCTTAGGAAAGCCCCTCCTTATCTAATTCTGCCACCTTGAAGGAAAAGAGCAAACTTTTGTCCTGGATGCCTGGATGGGAAAGAACTCACAGAGGAGGAAGTGGCCACCACCTCAGCGGAGGAGGAAGAGATGATGACCTTCTCTGTAGGGTTGGGGGCCTTAGAGGGATCAGCTGGTCACAGCCTGGGATCACAGCTAATAGAAATAGAGCACTAGAATAGTGAGGGAAAAGACTCCTTATAAGCTATTCTCATGCCCTGGCCCCTGCCATTGAGCCGTGTTACCAGTCAGCTCCTCCTTCTGACATCATTCATTGGCTGAGCAAGTGTGATGGTCAAACCACAGCCCAATCACTGTGCAAGCCCAACGAGTTTCCAGGGCTCTATCCATGCACGCCCACTAGCCAGGGAGGTCATAGCCCCTAACAGACCGCTTGCATTTCCAGAATCCTAGCTATACTGATGAAAATGTCCTCAGCACCTGCTGCCAGTCCCCCAGGCTTAACCTGAAAAAGTAAAAATATCAATAATCTGTCTTTCCAAGTATCCTCTTACACCCACCCAACTTGAATTCACTTTTGATTTGAGCTATGAACTTGTGATAAAACCCAATCAAGAGACGGACTGTGAGAAAAATACACCAATCTACCTACGGGGCATATCTTACTGTAGTGTGCTTTTGAATGAATTTTATTTTCTGCATTTCTGCTTATATTTTGCAAATATTGATAATGACACTCACTCTTTTAAGATTGGAAAATACAGCCCTAGCCAGTTTGGCTCAGTGGACAGAGCATCCATCAGCCCACTGACTGAAGAATCCTGGGTTCAATTCTGGTCAAGACCTTGGTTGCAGGCTCCAACCTACTCAGGGCTCCTGTGGGAGGCAACCAATCAATGTGTCTCTTACATTGATGTTTCTCCCTCTCTCTCCCTCTCCCCCTCCCACTCACTCTAAAAATCAATGGAAAAATGTCCTCGGGTGGTTTTTTCCAGCATATATCTGAATTGGGGACCTCTGTAGCAGTGAGTCAAGTACACCATATTTATTATAGTCTTTGTTTGGGCCCTGGCATATAAGTAAATCTGCTGCCATTCCCATTTTTCTGATGTATGCAAAAATCTCAGAAATAAAACAAAGGTGCTCTCAACATTGCGATGTTATGGCTAAAAGCAATCATCTGCTTCCTGATTTTGTATAAATCCTAACAACCTAAAAATCCAAACGTTTGTAATTGGTTATGGGTTTTAAGATATTTACATTTATAGATATGATGTGTGTGTGTGTGTGGAGGGGGGGGACAATTGTTAAGCAGTGATAAAAGCAAAATACTAAACTACATATGGTGGGATTTGGGAAAATCTATTATGTAATTTCATTGCCTAGAGACCCAGGAATTCCCAAATCCTGTCTTCCTCTTACCACATCTCTTTCCTATAAGGTCTTGAAGGAAAATAAATACCTGTGGAAAATGAAATGGCGCATGTGAAATAAAATAGCACTTTAGTGTTTATTGTGATTGTGTCTTTGTGCCCAGAGCAAAACCTCTGATAAACTGAGTTTATGGGCCCTCCTCCTCATACCAATTTCAAATCAAAATCTTAAAATTGAATTACCATGTAAGCAACTGTACCATGTAGAAGGCTTGAGAGGATGATCTTACCTATAAAAAATAAGCCCACCTTGGGAGTGTGACCTCCTCCCCAGTAAAGGTGGAGCATGGACCTGGGTCATTTTCCCATCCTGCTCTTGGAAGTGAAAGCAACAGCTTATATAGAAGTCCTTTCTGAGTGAGGTACTCCTGCCCTCTGCCCTCCCCCTCCCCTTCTTCCTACCCCCACCCTCTCCCATCCTTTCCATTCTTCACACCCTCCCCTGCGCATTCCTCCCCTTTCCCCATTCTCCTCTCAACCCTTCTCCCCCCACCTCGCTGCCCTCCTCCCCCATTCTCCTTTCCCTTCCTCCTCCTTCCCACCCTCTTCCCCTTATACTTTCCTCCCATTCCCTTATTCATCCCTCCTCCTCACTCCACTCACCTCATTCTCCCCTCTCCCTCTCCACTTTCTCTTATCCCACCTTCCTCCATTTTCTCTCCCCCTCCCATCTCCCCTTGTCTTCTTTCTCCCTGGTCTTGTTTCCTCCCCAGTCCCATTTCTCTGTCTCTCCCCCTCCCACTCACTCTAAAAGTCAGTGGAATTTACAGGGAAATTTAGAACAATGTTATAATAGTTATATTTTAAAAATCATTTTCCTCAGTATTTTCTACTTTTTCTATAATAAGCACTACTTTTTATAATCAGGAAATAATGTTAGATTTTTACAGCATGATACACTTTATTTGACATTTATTTATTTTAGGTTGCAATAGAAGTACATGAAAATATCAAATGATGTAAAGTGATCATTTTCAGTGAAAGGCAAAATAGAACATATTACAAATGTTGTTAGTAACTTTACAATTACACAGCATAAAATGAAGAAACTTTTTAAAATACTATGTCATATTAATACCTCAGTGGTAAACAATTACTTCATTATGTTTAAATTTATAGAACACTCACACAAATAAAATCATAGTCATATATATATAGTCTGTATGGACATTCTTAAATGTATGCTAATTTTTGCAAGCAAAGTTCACAATGCACTGTTCTAGTTAATATAAGTACTGTATTTCTATAGCAAAATAATGAAGGCACAGCTAGTGCAAGCAGATTTAAATCCTTAGACTTCTGGGCTGGAAAAAATAACAACACCTGCATTGGTACTTCAGGAACATTGTTTTGTTCAAGCAAATATTTGTCTCAGTTAATTCTGACAGTTTTCACAGATACAGTCTAGTAGGAACATGACAAAAGGACTTCACAAAAATAAAAACTCTGTAGCACCAAATTGACATGCTTTAAATAACTGACAGCAGTTTACAGGTTTTGGAGAATATCACATAGCAACAGGCTATATAGCATAAAGTGATACTTAGACACTGTAAGATACTTTTTTAGACTACTAAGAAAATACAAAAACACAAGACTGTAAAGAACACTAGTAATGAGGTGATAGAGCAGGTTTCACTTCTTCTTGAACTTTTGAGATCTTGAAAATTCTTTCAGGCAGCCTCTTTATTTTCGGTATTTCCTGTTTCCATAATCTTTACCATTGTAATAGGCACGCTTGACTTCTCCTGTAAAGTAATAGATTGATTTCAGAATGACATTATCATGTAAAATTTGACCAATTTCAAAGTCTTCATCAAGGATAGCATCTTGTCGTGGCTCCAGCTTTCCAATCTTAGGAATCTCAGGAGGGCTGAAGAAATTGAAGAATGATGAGTTAGGAACCACTCTTGGCTTGAATTCAATTTCTCCAGTGGCAGTTGTGCGACTGTAGGTGGTTGTCAAGGTAACATCCTTTCCTCTTCTCCAATCTATCTTACAGCCTTTGCAATCATAGATTTCCCATCCCCAAGTGAAAAAGGGATCCTTGTAATCTGGCTTTGACTTTATGATATATGTCTTGGTCAGCACCTCATTTCTGAAGTATGGATTGGGCAGAAAATAAAAATTAAATGTGTAACTTATAGGCTGGCCACGTTTTGAGAACTTCAGGCTGATATCTGACAAGAACTTCAGTATGGGCTCATCATACTTCTGAATCAAGGGCCCGAGCTTGTCAACATTCTTTAAAACAGTCAGCCAATAGTTGGGGATGCCTTTAGGTTCTTCTTTCTTAGGCTTTCCCTTACGAGCTCGTTTCAGATTCACTCTTTCTTTAGGCCTGACCTCATGAACTCTTTTAGGAGCCTCTTTTACTGCAGCCCTTTCCTTAGCCTCTGCTGCTTTAGGCTGTTCTTTTTCTTGTGCCTTTGCCTGGGGGACTTCTTTAGGCTCTTCATTTACTTCAGTCTTTGCCTCCAGAAGATCTTTCGATTGGGCTTTTTCTTCAGCCTTTGCCTCAGGAATTTCTTTAGGAACCTCCGTTTCTTCAGCCTTTACCTCGGTTTTTTCTTTAGGATCCTCTTCTTCCTCACCCTCTAAGGCAGGCATTGCACTAGGGCTGTCGTCCTGCACCTCTTCATCACTGCTGAACACCTCATCATCTGAATTCCATTCACATTCTTCTATTGTGGGCTCATATTCTGCATTTATGATTTGAGATCGCCGATCATATAGAGGCTTATTGAGATCAGCATATTTTCTTTCAAGACCATGAATTGCCTTTAAGAATAGGGCGTCTACCTTGTCACATTCATTTTGAATGTTTCTGAGCGCCTGCACACGATTTCGAACCGCCTGTGGCAGCCGATCCACAAAACTGTTACCCGACGGAGCCCACCGCGCCCTTCTAGAAGGCTCAGGTACCCTCCTCTTTCCATAGAAGCGGCTGAGACCACTGCTGCCGCTGGTGCTGCTGCTGCTGGTGGTGGTGGTGCTACTGCTGCTGCTGCTGCTGCTACTGCTGCTGTTGCTACTGCTACTGCTGCTGCTGCTGCTGCTGCTGCTGCTGCTGTTGCTGCTACCAGTGCTGCCGCTAGAGCTACTGCTGTCAGATTCTTCCCCGGAATCACTGGCCAAGCTAGCCTTCACCTCTTCAGCGACCCCCTGGGCGGCAGGTTCCGAGACCATGTTAAGATCCGCTTCTGCCATTTTGCAAGCCTGCAACCCTCTTAAGGTGACAACTACCGCTGAAACCGCGCGCCCAGAGAAGGGCAGAAAATGACTCACGGATGCTCTGCTGGCGGAGGCTCGGGATGAGGAGGCGGTGCGGCAACTGCAGCAGCCGCGCAGGGCTGGCGGGCTGGACAGCGGCGAGCGATCGCGTGAAGGCAGCGAGCAGTGGCCGCGGAGACCTGTGCGAGAGCAGCGGTGACAACGCTCTTCCGGCTGCCGCAGCGGCGGACAGAGGCGTGAGGCAGCTGGATGGTGCAGTGTGAGACCCCGAGATCTCTCCAATGTTTTGATCGCAATCCCCCTCCCCTTTCAGTTCTACCTCCCGTTAATTTAGTTCCCAGTGTTCCTTTAGCTGACACCTCATTTGCTGGGCATGCTTGATTGACAATAGCTAAGCCCAATGAATGACCAAACACTACTCCCCCTCCAGGCTCCGCCCACCTTCCCAGACGCTCCTCGGTAGCTGAGGCACACACCCCTGGAAGACGTTTTTCCCCTCAAAATTCTATCTTTATAGTTTTATAATTTAAAAAGAAAAGCTTAGATAAGTGGTAAAAATACTAGCCATTGTTTCTAACAAGGGAAGAGGAGTGTCCTCCGGTCTGCTCATCCAGAACTCCTGTCTGGCCTCTCACAAAAACCTGTTTTTAAACAATTGGATGAAAATACTCCAAATGGCATCATTGGGCAGTGTGATTATGTATGCTTTTTAAAATCTCTTTATCGAAATATTCTATGAGCATGTATTTTTACACTGAAATTAAAGGGCAGTCGTTTATTGGCAAAGGAGGGAGGGGCTAGAAAGCAGGCATATTGCATTCCACGTAGCAGTTTTAATAAGTGCTGTCTGTGATGTCTGGCAAGCCTGGTTTATATCCATCTACAAGGTTTGCGAACCCATGTTGCCGTGAGTCAGTTACACCATTTTTACTATATTTCTCTTTTTAAGCTGGCATATAATATACCCAACCTTGCTGATGACTTGCCTCGTAGCCTTTCTCAATGCTTACAACAGCCTTGTAGATAAAATAAAAGAGTATTCATTGTTAGGTAGTATTATTTAAAGGCAGCCTGTTTGCTCTATACTTTTTTTGCAGCAGTTTTTAATTCCAGGAACAGCAGGATGGGAGGGGGGATTTGTGCTAGTGAAAGCGCATCCTCGATCAGGGTATACTTTACAATGTCTTCTGCCACCAATTTCCTTCTAACATTGTGAATGCTAGCCAAACTGTAGTATGATTTACAAATTCATTAATATGTGAATAAACTTTTGCAAAATGAACTTTAAAAACAGGTATGTGTTATTTTTATTTACAGGATTCTTTTCTGCTACAGAACAACTCCCTTGGTACAACCCAAAAGACCAGTGTTTACTTTTCATTGAAAGGTAAGGAACATATTTTAGCCCATTTTTATGAATGACAAAAATTACCTATCTGCATATGAATAAAATTTCACAGGATGTCATCTTTTAAAGACTTAATTGGAAGATATTTTGATATTTCTATGGAAGCAGAAAAGTCCACAGAGGTGATTTGATATACTGATGTAGAAAATAACCTAATTACTCACATTCACTATCTAAACCAGCTCACAGAATACAAGTAGTAAATCAAAAAATAAAATATGTTGAATTATTCATTTCAAATGAGTAAAAATATTAAAGTTAGATTAACCTTTGTGTTATTTTTATTATAGGATTTGTGCTTTGTCATTTAGTCATCATAAGTTAGGGAATACTTTTATTTTCTATTTTGTAAGTGAATTTTATTGCTTATTTCTGATTGTCAAAGTATAGAAGCATTTAAAAATATATAATATAGAAAATTTCAATGATAGTAAAAATGCAGTCAGCAACCAAATGATAAACATTGTTAGCATTTTGATGCATTTCCTTCCAGAAATATCTTTGTACAAATACACACCAGCCTATTTAGATATGCTGTTTTATCTATGTGACATCACATTAAATTTTGCAATCAGCGCATTTATCAATTAATATCGGCTATATTTTCATGGTAAATGATCAACATCTTATTTTAAAATAGATTCATATTCCATGGAAATATTTACCTCAATTTATTTGACCAGAGTCCTGTTGTAAGGCAGATACTTCCCACACCATCTCTCCACTAACATACATATTTTTTTCCTGTTATTAAAAATATTTAACTCTGCATACTTACTACACAGGCTTGTAACAATTAGTCGTAGGATGAATTCCTAGAGATAGGAGTGCTAGAATAAATTGTACACTCATTTTTTCTTTGATACATGTTGCCAAACTTTTCTACAGAAAAGTTATCTCAACTTACAGTCACAGCAAGAATGCATATGAGCTCATTTATTTAGTCATTCAGCTAATATATTTTTGTGGCTACCATGTGCCAGGCGCATGTGGTAGAAGATGGTGATATAATGGTGAATAAAATTTACTATGTGTATCCTTTCATTTCATACTTTTACTCAAAACATATACTATGGAAATCAGTGGGATTATGCCTCAAATATTGTTCTAAAACTTATTCTTATTTAAATGATGAATATCTATTTTAATGACTGCTCTTATATTTTATAGTACTTTAATGGTTTAAAATACATGTTAAATTTTGTAACATCAGGAATTAGTATTTTGTAATAAGTACTGAGTTACATATATGTGTGTGTGTGTGTGTGTATGTATATATATGTGTGTGTGTGTGTGTGTGTGTATTAGCCAGCATATATATATTATAATTTTCTTAGTGCCATGTATTTTATAATCTTATTGTCATACACTTATTTGAAAAATATCACTTTTATCATATTAACTGAATTGCTTGGTTTTGTTTCTGAATTTTCTTTTCTTATTTGTTGGCCATAATGTTTTTGCAAACAATTATTGAGGCATTTTTTACTAACTTTATATTTTGTCAAAATTGTATACATTGGAAAAAGTCAGATAGTACATCGAAATTCACATAAGAAACTAAAAGATACTCAAAACAGCCCTGGCCGGTGTGGCTCAGTTGGTTGGAGCTTCCCGTGCATCGAAGTGTTGCCAGTTCAATTCCTGTCAGGGCATATGCATAGGTTGTGGATTCAATGTTTGTCTCATACAGCAGTGTTTCTCTCTCTCTCTCTCTCTCTCTCTCTCTCTCTCCCACACCCCTCTCTCTAAAATCAGTAAAACATATCTTGGAATGAGGATCAAAATAAAGTAATTCAAAAGACACAGAGAGGAGACCATTATTCACATTTTTAATGAATATCTCCAAAACAACTTTTTATTATTATGTATTTGTATTTCCTAGATTCGTGATAAGATTAAATGTCTTTCTATATGTTTATTGCTTATTTGAGCATTGCCTTTTCATATCCATTGCTTGTTTATCACTGAAATAATAAAGAAATTGATGGTGAAATCCTATAGGTAAAATAATTTGGGGCCTTGATTTCAGGCAATTGTGACTCTTAGAAAATACCCTTTTCTAACTTAATAATATTTGACAAATATGGCCCAATTACAGCTTTCATTTTAAAATTATCTACTCGGAGAGTTGTTTAGATGCTTTTCAAGGATTAGTACTTAATCACTTAAACTGATACAGAAAAGTTTGGAGTGGAACAGAAAATAAAAAGAGACAAAAACTTGTAAAAACCTCATATAAAGATAATACATTAATAAACTATTCAAATTTTCAGTTTGGAAGTATTTTTTCATAAGCCATAGAATATAGCTTACTTCTAACCACAACAGTCTATTTTTTTAAAAAAAAATTACATTCAATATTATTTTGTATTAGTTTCAGGTGTATAGCATAGTGGTTAGACAATAATATACTTTATAAAGTGTTCCTCCTGATATTTCCAGTACCCACCTGGCACCATACATAGTTATATCAATATTATTGGCTACTAGAGGCCCGATGCACAAAAGTCATGCAAGGGGTTCAGCCCCTGCTGCGGCGGCGGCTGCCTCGGCCCCTGCCGTCACGGTGGCCACCTCTGCCTTGGTCCCCACAGTCACGACTACATCTGGAAAGTCGTCTAGAAGGGCGTCCGGAAGAACGTCTGGTCTATTTAGCATATTATGCTTTTATTATTATAGATATTTTCTATGCTGTACTTTACATCTCCATGACTATTTGTAACTACCAATTTGTACTTCTCAATTCCTTGACCTTTTTCACCCAGTCTCCCAACCCCCCTCCCTTCCGGTAACCATCAGTCTGTTTCCTGTATCTATGAGTCTGTTTCTATTTTGTTTGTGCCAAAAACATTAATCTGAAAGAATATACAGGGTTGGGCAAAGTAAGTGTACATCTGTGAGTACATGAAACAGTTTGTTTTTGTATTATTGATTTCTTAATTATTGTATTATTTATTTGTCTTATTAATGTTATTTTGTATCCTTACTTATGATTTATTTTTTTTAAGTAATGATGGCTGGTAAGTTAACCTACTTTCTCCCACCCCTGTATGCACCCCTATGTTCATTGCAGCGTCATGTACAATAGGCAAGCTATGGAAGCAACCCAAGTGCCCATCAATAGACGAGTGGATAAAAGCTGTGGGACATATATACAATGGAATATTACTCAGCCACAATGTTCTACTTTTAATGTATATGCACTACTTTAAGAATCTAGTAACACATTTATTTTGTAGCTTTTTTCAGTTTATTAGTTAATTTTATAATGGCAGGTACCTAAAGGAAAATATGTATTTTCTTCATATAATGAATTTGTGCATACTACCATATATTTTCTACCATGAATATTTTATAAGAATTAGTTTTAGCACATACAATATTCTTATTTTTCCATAAGGCTATCTATAAATTACTTGCATAATCTCATATGGTCTCTCTTCCATTATTTTATATTTGGGTGGGTTAAATGTTCATACTTCTATATGAGATGATGCTTAACACATAATCTATTGGTATATTCAGGCTGAACATGACTCATTGACATCTTACACCTTCCCCGTTA